CTCCTTCATCACTGCCATCCAGGGTGCCCTCTGGATAACTATCCCCACCGCAGTCCCCAACCAGTGTAGGCAGCACCTCGAGGTTTTCTAATTCTTCTGGCATGGGGAAGACCTCGTGGCCACACACACTTCCGTTTCTGAGGTGCGTGGTGCATTTGTGGTGAACTACGATGGTGCCTTCATGACCCCTAGCAAGGAGGGAGAAGGGTTTCCAGGAGATGCTACTCCCTCATCCCAAGGGAAGGTGTTGTTCGTACTGGACTCTCCCTGCCCCTCTAACCCTGAGGGGTGGTGCCTTTTTCTAGGAGGATGGGGGAACAAGGGACACCTCTGTCTCTCCACTGTCCTGATGCCCCTCTCCACCTCAAACATCCTCGTTTTTTTCCTTGTCCATCACAGGTTCAGGGCACGCAAGGGGCCAGGGGAAACTAGGCCACCACCTGCTCACTTGCACTTTTTACCGTCAACAAGCCTCAGGCTGCCCTCCAAATCCCATGCCTTCCCGAAGGACCTGGGACCACTATCCTTTGCGAGGTCTCCCTCCCCAGGTTGGGGCTCGATGGCCTTAGGGTCACCCTAAGGAGGATGGTAGGATTATTGGTGATTGACAATGAGTAGGGTGGTTTAGTTAAGTCATCTTGGACGAGTTGCTCTTTGGGTGCTCTGGCAGCCAAGAGCACAGTTAATCAATTGTATTAGTGCTCTTCCTTCTCCTCCTACTGTCCAACTGTACGAGGTTCTGGTACTTCATAATGGCAAAAATGAAATCTACTATAGATAATCACAAACATGTAACTCCAATCAGGTTGTACTGTAAAATCCCTCCAAAAATTCTCCAGGCAACAGCACCATTATTTGAGTGTGCCAACTGACTGTTCAATGATTTTTCTGGTGGCAGCAGTCTTGTTGAGAGCCAGTTCTTCAATTTTGTGCCTTGGATTTTGACAGGAGTTATGAGTCATGAGTCATGTCTGAAGAGGATAGCTCCTGATGCCAGAAGCCACCCTGTAAACTGAAGGCCTGATTAGAATGAAGAGGAGACAAGATTGGCGTTGAAAGAGTACATGATAACTGCTACTCAGAAACAGGACACAGATCTGCATGGAATGCAGTCTTTGAGCAAGCTCGGCATTATTGCAGAAGTGACAAGCTGCTGATAGGGAAGATTCATGATGATGTGGGTGCAGTTTAGTAATGCCTTACATACTGGGGGAGTTTACCACAAGGGGAAAGCAATTGCTCTCATGTCCTGTTAACAAAATTAATGCTTCTCCTGACACAGAGAATCTCTTGTGAACTCCTGCTATAACAGTGGAATCTAAATTGTGCAATGTTGCTGATATCAATTAATGCAGCTTGCTATATAAAAGCTGAGCGCCACAGTTGACAATATTTTCCCAGGTTCAGGGCTTGGATTGCCACTGAGGAAAAAATTAAGGTGTAAAATTAAGGTGCTTGAGATGTTGTTACTCTAAGATGACGTGTTTGGAGAAGTACTCTGAAAATTAACTGTCAATATATTTGCCTGCTAAGTAAACACCTCATCCTTCCTTTCCCAGGACTGGATTTTATAGGTTGAGTGGGCTACTTGCTCACAGGGGAAGGAAAATCGGCCACCAACTGATGTGCCCGGAAGAACCCTACCCTGCAGCCATCAATGCTGGTGTTGACTAAACCAGCTCACAATGGAGTTTCTTCTCTTAATGGAGCAGGTCCCACCCTTAAAAGCTGCCAATCAATCTAGGAGTCCCGGCAGTACCAGTTGTCAGTAGCACGCGCTGCTCAGAATGCAAAGGGAGCATAAAGAAGCTGGAGGGCTGCTGGAGACAGGCACGTCCCAGGCATTTAAGGTAGCAAAGAGATCAGAGAGCACAGGAAATGGGGTGGGGATGAGTCGTCTGGTTTTGGAGGGAAAGCACAGGGAACAAAGGGAGAGTTGATATCTTGGAGGCGTGGGATACACCCAATGTGTATTGGCCTCCCTTAAAATGATGTGCGCAACTTCATTCCTGCCTTTTAAGTGGCCTCCCTCAAATAAAAGGCCTGGCCACCCCGGCACACAATAACTACATTATGCTCATAGGCAGTATATAACCTGGCTTGGTAACAAGCTAAACTGATCCTTAATTATTTATTTAAATATGGCAAGAATATTACTGACATTGACATCCACCCCCCCTACTGCATTCTGGGGACGGTTCTGGCATGGTTAGGAAGGTGTAAACTGGGTGTTACTCGTATTTTACGTGGACTCCACTCCCCGTGCCTGAAATATGCCTTAAAATCCAGCCTCAGGACAAACTACCTCCTTTATGGTCTTCTTGATTCTCTAACTTCAAAGGCAGCTATACTAGAATACCACACAATAAACAGATGCATGAGTAGACAATGCAGCCCCTCAGTCTGGCCCACACTCAGCAAGATCATGTTGATTGGCCTCAAGCCCTCAAACTCCTGCTTTGTACCAGCTTAACATAGCAGTTAACTCCCTAATCTTTCAAAACATACAGACTTGTAACTTTGCTTTGAAGGACACCATAAACAATTCCACAACAGCCAATTACTGATTTCAGAGAAGTTTACATTTCGAGATTCATGTAATATGCTGACAAATGTTCAGAAGTTAAAGGAGTAGCCTGAGGGAACAAACTAGCAGCTAACCCAGCACTGTATCAGTTCTATCAACAATCTTGTTGAAAGATCCTTCCCACCAGTTAGTACAAGGTACCCAGTGTATTTTCATGTTGCAAGTCAGGCACTGGAACAGACCAATATCACAGAAAGTCCCCAGAACAAGCAAGGAATCCTTATTTAAATGACTTTTGATCACTGTTTTACATACTACCAATGCAGGCACCCAAGGAGCAACCTGGTCAAACACGACAGGTACTCATTTCCACCACAAAGTGAACATGTATGGTCCATCGGCATCTGCTAGAGCAAGGCTTCCCAGCATGTGGATCAGAAAAGGGGTCACAGGTGTAATTTTGAGGAAGGGAGTTCCAAGGTATAGAGCTCTGCCCCATATGCTTTCTCTCCTGCGTTATCCCCCAACCCCTAAATTCTCAGCTCTTATCAAAGGGTTGAAGGAAGTTTAGAATCTTAATATGGAGTTACAGTGAGAAAAAGTTTGGGAAGCACTGGGCTAGATGCCTGAGAAAAAGGAATGCATCAGTTAATTTCTCAGCTTAGTGCAAGAGGGCACAGACGTTGTTTGAATTTACAAAGCTCTGGGCTAATTGATCTTTGCCAAAGCAGCAATTTAAGGGTGAGAATTGGCCATGGGACAGGAAGAAAATGAACAACCGTTTCAGTACACAATGTGATGCTATCCCCACAACAGATTGCATGTGTTTGCACATCACGGGAAGATAGGTTCAGGTTTGGTAACTATGCACAAATGCTAAAATTGCCTCTCAGCACTCATTAGTGGGAAACAAAGAACAGCAAGTTGGTCAAGCTATAGACTAAGCTTCACTGAGGCAAAATCTCATAACAGCAGCCTTTAGGAGTACAGAAAAAGGACCAAAAGCTTATAAGTTGACCTTATTATCTAAATGGAAGATCCTAAAATGCCACCAAGATAATGGGGTATTAATACTTAACACACTTGTCTGATGCTCCTTTCTCTACACTTTCAAATATACATTTTAATTAATTTAATTAAACAAAAACGCTAATGCCTTTGCTGAAATTCCAAAGAACATTTTATATTAATATGTCAAGTTGCTTGTGCCCTCGCAAACAACTGTAATAAATCCAAGACCTCTGTGATTCACTTTCTAATGCTTCTGCAAATTCCATAACAAACCCATGTTTTCCCCCGGCCTGTCTAGTGCAGTCATGCAAAACATTGGATTTGATGCTAATACTCTACACCAAGCCAAAGACCAACTCTTAACACTGCAACAAGAATTACACAACCATTAAGACAGGCCTCCTACCAGAAACACCAAGCTGCTGCAGCTGTACTTCTGAATTTTGTAACAATCCCTCAAGTCTGCAGACATACTGGCAGAGAAACACTACACCAGTATTTTTTTCTCCTGGACAATAATTTCTGGAATTTCATGCAGAAGTCGAAATGCAAAGTTAACCACCATTCCTCAAACAGATGCTGCACAAAAGACTATCTTACCATAATTTCTTCATGTTAAATTGACTGAAAACAACAAATCGTACAAACAGAAGGCTATGCCTCCAAATCATCAATCCACCACTCCAAGTTGGGTCTGAGCAAAATAGAGCATGAGAGAAAGAGTGGGGAAAATATTATATTTTCTGCCTGTGGAACATAAAACTTGGTGATCACATTTGACTTTAACATGGAGATGGGATTAAGTTCAAGTTTTCTAACTTCTAGTTATAGAACAATTGATTTGCTAGTATCATGCAATTGATTTTATTTATCCATGGCCAGTTACATCTTTTGATTTTTCGAAATGTAAAATTATGTACACTGCTTAAAATGCAACATGCACAGCAGAGTTAATGCAAATCAAATGTGATCATAATATCCATAATGGTGCCAGGCTGCAGTAGTGCCCCACGATTCATCTCGTCTATGCAGGTACATGTAGCAGTTTATTTCAAAGCCTGTTTGTAATCATGGTTAATTCCATTTCGTGCTGTCATTTTGATCAATGGTGTCAGGCAAAGATCAACAAATTGCTGACAATAAATCGTGGCAGCGCACTCATTTTATGCTTTTGCACCTTGCCAAAAATATTTCTTTTTAGCTACACAGAATAAAATAAATGGTGGCAAAGGAATTATAACTGAGAAAATCCCAAGAAGAATGGCTAAAAAATGCTTGCTAAACAGATTTTGGCCACTTGTCACAAAGAGGTCTCTGTAGTTTTTGGCTTTCTTTTAAGCAGCTTAAAGATTGTTCCGAGTTAGCACTACAGAACGCATAATGAATTTACACCTTAATGCATTGTTGGTCAGGCCTATTTAAAAAATACAAATTGTTAGCAAAGAAAACAGTTTTTGCTTACCCACACGGCCTGTACGTGAAGACAATGTAACTCTCTTCATCTACTCTCTCAATGAATGTGACGCATGTATGTTTCTCCCAATGCCGCATGGCCTGTTTGAACATTGCCCGCTGGCTGCCTAGAGGAATCAGATCACTAATTGAGAAATTATATCACATCATCCAAACAGTAGCAAAAGATACTTTAGAAAGTGTATCTTTTTAAAATCAACTAAACTCACCATTCCACTATGGCATTTATGCTGGAGTGAACAACAGACATGTAGTAAAGTTATACACTGCGAGACACTTTGTTTAAAACAAACTGCTTTGTGTAACTGAGATTAGGTTGACATTGTGCTGATAATTATTTGTAAACATGTTGGCACTGAGGCACAAAATGCAATGCAAAGTTGTGCCATCAGTGGAGACAATTTCATGTTAACACGTTTTGACTCTAACACAAAAATGTCTATGTCAATCGTGTGAGGGTGGGGGGGGGGGGGGGAGAAGAGGGGGGGAGGGTGGAAAAGGGGGGGGGGGGGGGCAGGGAGAAGGAGAAAGTGGCAGTGTAGCTCAATTGTTAATTTATACCTAAAGAAAACTTGCATTTTTGTAGCACCTTTTATGACTGCCTGTGAAGTACTTTTTGAAAAGTAGTCAGTCAGTCAGTCAGTCAGTCAGTCAGTCAGTCAGTCAGTCAGTCATTGTTGTAACGGAAGAAATGTGGCATCCAATCTGCACACCTCAAGCTCCTACAAACAGAAATTTGATAACTTGATAATGTGATAACACTTTTGTGACAGTGAAAGAAAAAAAAAATCGGCCATGACATCAAGGATAACCAACAATGCCTCGCTTCACCTCAGCATCCAATACAGGAATTTTTGCTTTACATGCAAAGGGGCTGCGATTTAATATCTCATTTGAAAAATGGCATCTCCAACCACACAACCACACTGCATTGGAATGTCAGCTTTTATATTTACACTTATGTGGGGCTTGAACCCACAAACTTGTGACTCAGAGGCAAGAAAACAAAGTTACCTTTCATTCAAATAAATTGAAATAAACTTTTATTTAACGTTATCAATTTAGAAGAAATAACATTTTAATGATCTTCATAAGTGGCAAGGCTGATTATCGTGTTGAAATTATCCATTTTAAAATTTTCCTATGTTCAAAAGTACTTTTGGAAGTGGGATAATAAACATGTTTCTTAATGCAGAGAACACTATCCGTTCAAGGTGGTTTCATTTCCTGTCTCTGAATATCACCGGCAGCAAAGATAAATAGTTGCCGTTGGAACCACTTGCCATCTGTTCTGACATTTTATTCTATCTGTCCATTATCCAGGCAAATGATTTTTCCATTACTAATCCAGAAACCAGTTTAGGCACTGGCAAGAACAGCAGCATGAATGCAACTTGCAAAGTCTGTAGATGCACAAGTCAGAGACAGTAGGTACATTGTTTCTGTGGTCTCAGAATACATTAAAATTGCAGTACAAATGGAGTATAAAACGATGCAATTTATTCCATCCATTCCTTAAGTTTTTTTTTGGTTTCAAATGGGAGAAAGAAAACAGTCAACATTTAAGGCAGCACAAGTAGATTGTAGACTGATGGGATTCAAAGCAGTGCAAGTCTCAGCCATAGTCAGTTTGAGCCTTGTTTCAAGTAACATAATGAAACAAAGTGGAAGACAGCATTATCATCATTTCTAAATGTAAGCACTGCAGAAAAAGAAAGAAATATGCTCACCTCCCAAATTCTGACAAATCATTCAAGTTCTTAACATAGCATATGGTGGTGCCAGCATTTAACTGCAACTCTATAAGCTTAATATGCTGCATAGCAGAATTGTTTGCCTGGAGACCAATATAGAAAGAGATCCCTGATTTAATGTCTCTAACGATGATAATTTAGATTTGAAATGTTTTTGGAGCTTCAAAATCACTATGCTCAAAATTATAGTCAATAACATAGAAGCAGGAGTAGGCCATTCAGCCCCTCAAGCCTGTTCCACCATTCAATGAAATTATGGCTGATCTTTGGTCTAAGTCCATATACCTGTCTTAGGCCCATATCAGTGAATAGCTTCGCTTGGACTGATCTTGTTTTCTGTTACTTAGACCTCTTCCATCATCCTTCAGCTCAAAGTTACTTTACTTACCCTGCAAGTTGCTGAAAGTATGAACTGATAACTTTACTGAGCTGTGCTCTTCATGGGATGATTGTTCCTGAGCACAAGGTACTGGATGATATACACATTACGACTGGTAATTATGCATGTTAAAATTGCTGTTATTTTGGTAGCAAAAATCTAGGTCACCTTAACGGGACTCGTGAAAACACCCCATTTCCATTGCTAATAGCCTATCATATTATTGATATTAAGATACCCAGGGACAGCTAATACTGAGACCCAGAGACAAATTCCAGCTTCAAGTTACACTTGAAGTTACATGTTCTCACAACTAATGCTTCTTAATGTTTTGTGGGCAGAAAACTTACAAGACTTAACTGAAGTGCGTCCGTCTGCTTTGTGCAAGCCAGCAAAATAATTCCAGTACTGAAAAGTTATCAGCAATTGTGAGGGGCACAAGTCTCCAGCAAAATAACCCAACACGATTTTAAAACAATTGCATATGTACTAGCTTCCATGTGAAGGACTGTTTTATTGCAGATCCAGATGACAATGTAAATGGACAACTTCATCAGGACTGGGAAGTCAGTGCTAGAGGACCATCTCAAGAAATGACTCTGCAACATAAATGGAATGTTAATGTGTGTTTGGAAAGGAATGGACAATTTGTGGAATTTCTGACACATTCCCAGGTAGGAATGCATTGAAACGGTCACAAATTATGCTGGAAAGCAGATGTACCATGTCCCAGTTTAACATCTTTGGGAAGTGCCATGGCTGGTAGTGAAGGGGTTTAGGCAACACCCGTGCCCAAACTAGCCCTAACAATGCAAAAATAGCTTTGTCTACTCCATAATAAAAGAGAGCTAGGGTTAGAGGCTGGAACAGATGACCTAACATCAGGAGATGCAGCCTCTCAAAAAATAAGTGAATCATGAATAGCCGTATGCCTTGTGAAATCAGCTGTACTGACTAATCGTGGACATGGAACCTAACCTGAGTGATCAAGCCACAGCTGTGAAGACAAAACTGAGATTTTAGTTAAAGTGATTAAAATACAACCTCTTCAAAAAAATGAGGTGTGGTAAGGGTACAGCAACAGTAAGCAACTCAGCTACAGGAGCATTATGGCCAAGTTCAACCATTTCCGCATGAGCATGGATTTCCATCAGGAATCAGTAACTAGCGATAAATGATTTGGAGCCTGACTAATTTTCTCTACAATGTCTAGCTGCACTGGGGCCAGTGGCTCCGAGTGAGGTCAGGCAACCTGACACAAACTGAGTATTAAGCCTAAATCTGTTGCAAGTAGACAGCTCACTTATTGACTGGCTAAACGTGCCAGCCATCACTGGATAAGCTCATAATTCTCTAATAATATGTCTGATGAATAAAACCCACGATGTGCTCAATCAAGTTTTGCTCAATCTGTATGCCTCTAAGTCTTTTTGATTTGTACATCCTTGCATACTATGATCTGCATGTACTGCTCGGACAGTACATCAGTGCACGTGGCTGTAAATCAAATCAGAATACATGAAGCTACAGTGATATTAAAATGGAGCAGTTTTTTTTAGAGCAAGTCCCATTTAGACTACCTTTACAACTGATGCAATCAGCAAAGAGGCCTACATTAAGCAGACAGAGTGCCTGGATCTTTCAGGAATTAGGTCCTCTTTAACTTATAAACCACAATCCTATCATTTATATCCACAAATTTAATGGACAATTTGTCCATCTCAACCGGTTTCGTTGCGTTATACAACAGAAGAGGTACCAGAGTGGTGAGTAGAAAATGAATTTTGAGAGAGCAGCGGCAGCAGAAATGCTACTCCTGGCTCCACAATATTATACAAGACTTGATTGCAGCAGCTGCCAAATCTATCGGTGACATGGCATTAAGGCCTGGCTTTACAACTGAATCAAACCTTCCATTGATAAAACGGAGATATTCAAACACCCCGTAATCAAAATCACTGAAACCAAATTATTCACCTAAAACACTCTCTCAGTCTCATTCATAGCTGTATTTCAGGCCTGAACATTATGAAGAGGTCATATAAATATTTTACTTGCAAAGATATAAAATTTTTTAAATGGTAGGCATGTAGATTTCTACAGGAACAAGTTACTCCTGACTGCATGGAGAAAGATTGGGGCCTATAATGTTTATACTGACTGGAAATAGAAAACGAGACACGTTAAAGAGGCAGTATTTCTGAAGAAGGGTCTCGACCCGAAACGTCAGCTTTCCTGCTCCTCTGATGCTGCTTGGCCTGCTGTGTTCATCCAGCTCTACACCGTGTTATCTCACATTAAAGAGGCCATCATTTTGTATTAAAAAGTAGCTTTTCATTAGTCCTTTAATATGCATTCCATCATTGAGCCAAAGTCATCACAGAGTCTGGATAATAACTATTTGTTACTACCATCTGCAGTTAGTGTAGTTTTTTTTATAATACCATAAGCATTCGCCAGTGAAATTAAACTGGTTTCTCTTCAAAACAATTTGAGCTCAATGTAATAATGAAGAAAATAGAAGTGTTTTCATCATTGGTTAAATATAATCTTCCAGGTCACCAAAGAGTTACAAGTCCCAATTCTGTTTCTTTCTGACACTACAAGTCAGCAGAACATTTGTACCCAGCTGGTTAAACTCGTAATTTAACCCCATAGGCTAGAGAGAGCAGGGAAGAAGCACAGAAGTCACTTATGTACAAGCTGCTTGTTTGATTCTATGCAGGCCTATTCATCATATTAGTGGGAATTTTCTAGAGAAGAAAGGGCAGTGTGTGTGTCAAGTAAATAGTGGAGATTATTGCTCATTACCCACACCCCCGCACACCACCTTTTTTGTAGAAAACATTGTTTAGAATTGTAAAAGACCTTGCTTTCATTAAGGCAATGAGTCAGACTCATACTTGCTGAAAGCAAATTTTAAATGAAATATAGTGACAATAGTCACTTTAATACCTTATTTATACTACAGCAT